TTATTGAATAGATGAATGGATAGAATGGGAATGAACAAATAAAATGAGAATGGCGAATAAAAGAGCCAACTTCAACTAATCCATCCAGAGACTTCCCTTGGACTTAAATGAGACCCATACTCTCAGGATGGCAGGAACGGGAGCTAAAAATAAAACTTCATTATATTTGAGCCTTATTACACTCGAGCCTTGCACGAAGGATTGGAGAATATCTGTGGAGCTGGGTTACTTCTGTGTTATAACACGAAGGCATTAACATTCTCAAAAATCAACTATATGGCATCCTTCTTATGGTGCAAATTAGACTGGTATTGGCAAAACTGTGAAGACTAATAACCCTGTCGGCACAATAAAGTACAGTAGATAGAATTCTACAGATTTATTTAGAATGAAGAAATAATCCAGATGGATTCCTGCCTCATATTATAATCATGTTCAGAGAAGCTTAGTTTTATAAGAAGTTTGAGCATTCAGAGGACAGGTCTTCCTCACCAAAATAATGTAAAATTGAAGAATTTTATTTGTAGCACCTGGAAATTAAATTACATGAGTGCTGAGGCTGTATGTGTTTTCAGATGACACTTAATGGCAGTGTGAACTTTATCAAGTTACTTAATTTCTCTGAATCTATTTCTTCTTCCATTAAAATGTAGATAATAATGTCTCCCTCCCTGAGTTAGTGTAAAGATAGAAAGGAATGAGCTGTCTGAAAGAGCTGGGTAAGAGTCCAACAGAGCAGGATCTCTGGTAATGAGTTTCTTCTTTCCTAAATACCTCATTCTAAGTGTGGGAGCCAAGCTGCGGAGGACAGACCACATTCAACTCACTTCAACCTTCGAATCATAAAATCACAATTACAGATTGACATTTTACTCAAACTGAGGCTGACTCCCTACTGTCATTTATTCCCACCCCCTACCCATCTACCCCACAGCATGGAGGCTCACAGGAGAGGGAAGAACAGAAAATGTGAGGAAGACAAAACAGGGCAGAAGGGAGAGGGGGGACTAGGTGGCGTGGAAAATTAGATTCTAGAGAGGCCTCCTTAATGACACTTCACCTGCTCACCCTGTAGTAACAGCTCTAAGCCCAAACAACACGCAGCAGGAACTGGGAGCTCACGAAAGGTCTGAAGTGTCAACTCAAGCGTCATTACCACTCTTCCCCTCACAGTGAGGTGGGCCGGCAGGACCCTGGATTGTCATGATAATGTAGTTATTTTGAGTTTTTCAACCCCACTCCAAAATCAGGATCAAGACTGGAATCATGGATTTAACAAGAAAGAGTATATCCATGGGGGAAAAAAAGGCATCACATCAGCAAGTCACAAACATACAATTTTTATAGACAGCCTGTTATATATATCCTTTATTTTCCTATTTTAAATTGTGTCGATTCATGTTTATCTCATAATCTTAAAATGGCATTCTTAAAAGGCATTTCCTGAACCCTAGTATAGTTTTAGCTACCAACTCCATGCTCACAACCCTAAATTCTCTTGTTGAGTTCTGACTCTCAGACTCATGTATTTAATAGGCTGGAAAAAATACCAACTTTGGCTTGCCATTTGTCCTTTATGCTCAAAATGTCTAGAAACAAATTTGACAACTTCCTTCTATATTCCCCATTTCAGTAAATGGCACCAGCATTTTCCCAGACACCCAGACTAGAAATCTGGTGACGATAGCACCCTCCTACCTAAAACCACCACTAGCTCCCCACTGGCTTTAGAATAAAGCTTGGGTATGCAGCAAGGTAAGTTCGTGTTTCTCACTAGTTGTACCGTTTACCACATCCTCCCTTCTTTGTACCTCCTGGTAATTTCAAACTGATTCCAGTTCCGTGCACAGATCCTACCCCCCCACTCGCCCCCCATTCCTTCTGCCTGGGATGCTCTTCTCATCTTTCTTTTCCTGCATGCCTCCGTTTTAGGGCAAAACCCCAGGTGCATTGTCATCCAATACATTCTGAAATGCATGAGTCAACATCACCATCCCTGTGAAGAGCCACATCACTCTAATTGAAATGTCAAACAGACCCATCCCCAGACATTCTCAATGTCAGTCTGGCATACAGAAGCCACTCAATATTTGTTAGCTGTTTTATTACCAGTGCGTTGATAATGACGATAATGAAGAACACTGACATATATAATGAAGAGTAGAAAAATTGCCTCAAGAGAGTAGTGTTCACAAAACGTTTGGGGAATCCTCCAGAGCAGAGAGATTATCAGAAGAGGGAAACCCTTCTGCTATGGGAAGTTTTAGCAGCAGGCTTCCCTCAGCCACTCTGGGGAAGCCTTTGAAGTTGCATAATCGTAATTAAATAGGGCAGCTCTTTTATCTCCCTTAGCTGGCAAACTTTCAGGAGACCGGAGGAGTTTTCTATCTACATGTACCAATCAAGCAGTCAAGCTTAAAGAGACATATAGGCATATGTCTCTGCCTTCTGGATTGTCAAATATAGCCGGACTGAAAATCCATAACTCAATTTTTACTAAATGACATCTTTTTTTTTTTTTTTTATTTAAGCATGTTATGGGGGTACAGATGATTAGGTTACATATGATGCCCTT